ACTGCAAGAAAAAAATATGATCACTGCAAGCATGCACAGTGGGTGTACAGTCACTGGACACGATCACTTCAGGATTACATTTAGACAGATTATATGAATACTATGCATTCAACTGAGCAAAGACTTCAGATATACGTGGAAAAGTATATCATTAACAATGTCTGCACATAGAAATACTGTAAAATCAAACTATTTGGTATTAAACTTAGTATTTGTCTACATTAAAAGGTATGTTCTGCCAATAATCGCTGATTGCCTAGCAAGTTATAACTTTCTATAAATGACCACCAGAACCTTTGCATTCGTGAAATGTTAAAATTTAAATGATATTGTTCGTCTTTCACAAATGGTGACTAGATTTTCAACACCGAACTTACATTCACCGCCAAAACAAGCACGCGATTACTGCAAACGCAGGCGGACAGTCACCCTATCACTGCACTCTGCAGGACAGTGGTTCCAGGGGGTGTTTCTCAGTTCGATACTCAAAAGCAATGTCATTATTTAGCGTTGACAGAATTTCTAACTGTGATATAAATATGTTGTTGTCACAGACAAACTCAATATATGTTTTATTGACACCTATGTGTCTGCCTGCCTGTCTGCTAATGACAATATTCAATACACATCTTCAAACACTGATGCATGCAATTTGAACTTAACACCAATCAGGATTTACACCATAAACAAAACGCATTGATTTATGGCCCGAGTTCGGTCTGTCACATTATGTAATTACACAGACAGGCAGGTGTGATTCTTGTACACATGGGTTCATGGCCGGGAAGGCTAAAATCGTGACACTTCTCGGTTCAATGAGCGTAGCTTCCCAGTACTTTCTGTGCAATGTTATGGCTGAATGAATACGGGGCGCCTCACTCAGAGGCTTGGACAAATTACAAACAAAACAGGATTAACGTGGACGCTCTTTAAATTGGGTACATACAAAAATATAAATACAATTATTTATATGTTTTCATTTTCATTATACATTTTCTTGAATTCAACATTAAATTGTCATTATTCATAGTAAATCACATTTCTGTCAATCTACTTCGAGTTTAAGAAAATTTGAGAAGTTCAGACACGTGGCCTGTGTAGGCGATGTCCCTGATGTTCACAAGGTCCTTCAGGGTTAAGTTAACTCTAACCTGCGCATCTGCCATCACGAATATGTGTATGATAGTTCAGTGTCAGTTTGCAACTTAAATATTATTAGCAATGTTTTTCGAATTAAATACATCTGAAATAAAAACGTCACTTAAATACAGGTCTAAACAAGCAAAGACGATATAGATGCCTGTTATATAAACTAAACCAACTAGGCATAACGGGGAAAGATGTGGTCCGTTATAAGGACAATTCACCACAACATTTGAACTTTTAACAACAAATAACTGGGTACTGAGTATGATGTATGATATATCTTAAATGCTTTCTCCAAAGAAGAACCTTTCCTGGGCAAATGACGTGAAAAATCTGCTGTATAAAAATGGGTTTGGTTATGTGTGGGAAGACCCCTTTTGTGTTAATCATAATGCATTTCTTGTTCCCTGTAAGCAAAGACTGATTGATAGTTTCCTTCAGAAATGGCATGAAGATATATCTAATAATGCAAAGCTTTTCATTTATAAACATATTACGCAACAATTTGGCAATGAAATGTACTTAAATATAAAAAAAGTAATCCCATTAGAAAAATTGTTACCACCTTTAGAACATCGTCACATAAATTACATATTGAAGTTGGAAAGACCATAATTTACCAAGGGAAGAAATAGAAGACTGACACAAGTCTTAATAAAGTCAATGTTCTATTCTGTTCTGATAAACACTCTACTACAACAATGTTTTGAAAAGAAATGTATCTACTCCCGGCATGGATTATGCTTCCCAGAATCCGGCACCGTATCTTTAGCTATGGCGGTACTCCCCTAATTAGCTCTCACAGGAAATCCAAAATATAAATTTTAGCCTTCCTGGTACGACACCTACACATGACATGTTAAGATGTCTCTTGATTGGAAAATGTTATACACCAAAAATGAGCATGTATTTACAAAACCCAACATCTATATATATACACACACAATGAGCCGTGAGGGCATCTGCAAATGAACCAGACGTTACACTTGAGTGCACACCCACCCGCTCTGACTGGGTTTGGTATCCTGGGTGCTTCGTTTCGAGGGAAATAAACCCAATTACAAAATATTGCTCTTTTGATTTGCGATTGTACGCTTATAATTTTCTTTATATGTTTTTTCATAATCTGCAATCCAGCTGTGATAATTGTGTTTTAATTATGTTTGATTTTTTGGTTGCATGTGACCTTTAAGGATCATTTAGTGGTATGTACGGGAACATCTTCAAGGAGACCCTCCATCCTTATGTGGGATTCAGGCTACCATAATCCAGAGGGAATGTTTGCATTATAATTAGGAACAATTACATGTATTGTTAGTAATTGTTAGTAAACTTATCTCTGGATTATGGGATCTATTACCCTCCCATTCCTGCCTGTGATTTATCCTAGAAGATGTATAGTGGATCAGTTTTTTTCAGAAAAATTGTGAAAGCTTTTCAGACAACAATACCATTCTCAGGATCAGGGGGAGATAATTTAGTAGACAGATTATACATATCACTATGACTTTGTGTTTTAATTTTCATTTCATTTTCTGTATGTATCTGTGCAACCACAGGAATAAAGGCTACCATAATCCAGAGGTAAGTTTACTAACAATTACTAACAATACATGTAATTGTATGATTGCAAATGTCTTCAAGTATTTTGTTCCTGTCGTCGAATCAGAATAAGCTTTCAACTTCTGAACTTCTTTTTCCTTCTGAGGTGTTACAGTTCGAATCAGATTCTTTATACAGTGCAAGCCGTCAAAACCGGCAGCTGTCCAATTCGGCAAGTTGTCAGATGTGTATTCTCATCAATTGTTCCTGCGTTAATTACATGGTTGCCGATAAAGACAATTTAATATTAGTTCAGCATGGGTATAGTTGTACATGTAACTAGTGAGTTGACATGTTTTATTGTGATACAGCATTGTATATGAGAGTGACAAAACTGGTCCACTTCTTGTCGGAGATAACCGTGTCAGCTCTACAATCCGGGCCCGCTGTCTAAACAGGATTATTTCTTCAGTCCCAACGAATGCCGGTTTAGACAGCTTCCACTGTATTAGACCTGAAGTTTCCGAAAAATCTTCTGCAGTTCCATGTTTAGAAACAATTAAAACCTCAATTTCCATTCATGTCCGATGGGACCTGGGTGAACAAGAATCACTCCATGGATAACATGTGGCTTAACTGCCAGATGGTACATGCAACAAGGCCCCAACCATTCCATCTGGAAAAGGTAAATGCCTCACTCTTCTTCACGCTGGTACATGTGATTCTGATTATCACCAGGAAGTGAACAGTGAGGTGTTCCTTGAGTGGATGGAACATCAGCTCCTACCCTGTCTGGACAATCCTAGGGTCATCGTTATGGATAACACTAGTTATCATAACCTTCGTGGTTATCATTACCAGTTATCATACCGGAAACAGTGACCCCCACCATGAGTTACAGTAAGGCTCAAATTCATGAATTTCTGACCTCTGGTGTCTTTTAGACAGGCAGAAACCAAAGTACAGCACATGGAGAATATCAGAGAGCACAGGAAACTTATGGTCTGCAGATCAGACATGGTAGCACAGCAGCATGGCCATGTTGTCCTACGGACTCCAGTCAGACCTTGTGAGCTGAATCCAGTGGAAAGTTACCAAGTTGGAGTGTGACTCCAGTGTTTCAGAGGTTGGGGTTGGGCTGGGAGATAGAGATATCAGCTAAGGAAAGATATTCCTTTAGGGGAAGTAAACTGGGGAAGTAAACGGCATGTCATAACAATTTACAAATAATCTCCAGTCTTGTCGATTTTCAGGTGGTCATGCCACCTATAGATTTTGAGACATTCAATACAATGGCTGATTGAAGCTTTTCTATGGGTATCATACTCTTTTACATATTTCATCATAAACTTTATGCGCGAAAGACATGCAAGATGTTAATCAATAGAATAGACATATTCAACACACATGTAAAGGCATAAAATATCTTTGAGATGACCCCTTGTGCCTGTATTCAGCACATGCATTTCATGCCAGGTGAGTCGACGAGGCGTCATCATCCCTGACTGAGCGACCTAAGTGCCATCTATAGTCTGATCTATTGTTTTCAACAGCTTTCTGTGTCAAAGTTTTACCTGATTTCACGAGTGAACATGCTTTTCTGGACATCCTATTGCACATCCCAATGATGGGATTGTGTAAATTTCTGGGATACAGACTAACAGCCTTAAAAACTGTTGTTTTTTTCTATTTCCGACAGTACTTTTGATGAGCTGTTTTTATAGTGCAGTGCCGTTCAGTGCACTGCACATTGGGCCCATAGCCACTTTTGTTCTAAATATTTGCATTTTCTTTTCTTGTTTTATCTAGAAAAATATTTTGTAAGGTATAACCTTCTGTACAACAATGTCAAAAAATTGAGTGAAACCTTTACCCTTTATGTTATGAGTGATCATAGATGATGATAGATCCATAATAACATAATTCATTCATAATATATGAGCTTCTTAACTACTGAAACACATGAGATTTAACCTTTATATATGCACATATATAGGTAGATCCATTTTAAAGTTACTTATTACACTCTATTACCTTAACCAACATATTCTCAATTAAACACAGTCAATTAAATGCATACATAACATTCTATTGAACCTGTTGTCAAATTCATGTCTCAGATGTGTGCTCGTTTTGTATTTTACCTGTGGAGCACAAATTTCTTTGCAGTAGTGCAAAAGCAATTGCGTACTCACTTCTGAACATTCTGAAATGATTTCTTGTCTTGCATTTAACTAATGCTAATAGTGCAATATAGCTGTTATAGTATGTACAGTACCTATGACACTTCAAATGTTTTTTGTTTGTTTCAGAAGCAGAAGACATGCATGTGAAAGCGGTTTTTGAGGCAGAAGTCTTGGATTCAAGTCAAAAAGTGAAATTCAGGGCAAAAGGTTCTAGATCCCTAAAGCTTGATGCATATCAATGGCAATATCTGACATCAGAAAAACATCTTTGGAACAGGGTAGAAAAGGCAATGGGTCAGGAACACTTAATGGCCAGTATTGTGAATATTTCAGAACCAGAGCATAATCATGTGATTGTTTCCTTTCGAAGAAATAGGGAAAAACACTTTCATCTGATGAATTTGATGAGTGGATGAATTTGGTCTGTGAAATCTTTAATAGATATGATAATTTCATCATCTGGAAGAAACTCTGTTTCAAGGAAACATTTGATGTTGCACAGGACAATACTTTCAAAAGAACATTTGGTTGGTCTAAATGTCATATTCATACAAGAAATGGATGATACCTCCATTGTTATAGTCACTGATAAAGAAAATAAGGAAAAGGTATCTAGTGTTGTGGATCGGGAATTAACAAAGTTCATCCCTGGTACATCACAGGATGCTTCAGTGAAGATTAATTGGCATGAACAGAGTAAAGTTCCAGATCAAACCAATGCAGAGGCAAGGGAAAATGTCACAGAACAACCAGAGGAAAATGCAGTTTGTAATCAGGAGCAACAGGGCTCACACACTCAGGAATCATTTGAGAATCAAGCACAGAAGGCCAAAACAACAAATCAAGCTTCCCAAAATGGATCAACAAAAACCATGAGTGTCGGTGTTAATCGCCCTTTAACATCAGAAGCAGACAAACACAAGAAAGTCAAGATTGCATTGATCATAGATGCAGATAGGTTTGCCGAATATGAGAAAAGTTTTTTGGCATGGAAAAATGTTTCTTCTAACTTTGAAAAGATGACTCAACACACAGTTATGGCCAATCAACAAATGATCATTTGTGAGGGATACGATCATCGTGTTCAAGATTTTATCAGTCAAGTAACTAATGTACTGTCTGTAAAGCCTCGCACTCTGGATGAATGGTCCCATCACAACCCAGCCACAAAAGGTTTGAAACTGCCAGAGAAAAATCTCAAATTTCTGTTGAACAATAAACACGTTCAAAGTCAAGTTTTTAAACAGCTGTTGGCTTCCAACTTTGTATGTAACATTGAGAATAACCAATTACAAGTTTGGCATAAACTGCATGCAGACCCTGGATGTGCTGAAGACATTATTTTAAGGGCTGTGAGACATCAAATTGTCTCTCTCAAGTCCCGTCAGGACACACAGTTTCAGGATTTCAAGGAGTTCATGGGGGAACATTCTGGATTGGTTGAGGTCTATCAACATGAAGGTGATGCATGGGTAGCATACCTATCAAGTGAATCTGCTTCTATTGAGGGAAGAATAAAAGAATATGAAGATACACGTGTCAAAGCAGAGCACTTTGAAGTAGTGCCTGAGGATGAATATCGTTTCCATGAATGCTATAGTCAAAAGGCAATCAAAATGTTGACAACTGATGAGAATACTGTTATTACACTCACGAAAGGCAAAAAAGGATGTGGATTTCTCATAGTAGGATATAGAAATTCAGTTTTGAGGGCAAAAACTGCTATAAAGGAAATAAAACCTGTCCAAAACATTTTTCCTGTTGAACATGATCATTTTGAATGGATACAGTCTCCTCCTGGTGAAACGTTTTGCAAAAGTTGAGCGAAAAAACAAGTGCATCATGTCAACGAAGGACAGCATAGATAGTACCTTTGAACCTGAGGATGTCTTGAAAGAGATTTATTGCTATTCTACTGGTTCAAGTGGTGCTGTGAAATGTGCAAAACTTGTAACAGGAGACTTAAGAAGTTTGCAACCAGATGTGATTGCTGTCCCAGTGTGGGTGTGAGCAGAAAGCAGACAGAGCATCACTTGAAGCATCTCTTCAAACAAGTGATGGTAATAAATGCCTTTGATGTATTGATCATTGACTGATTCATGCGGTAAATAACTGGTTTTGAATTGATTTTGATTTTAGTGGAAATTTCACAGCCTTTATAGCATATTCAAGCTTTGTTTTGATGCCTCCTGGATTGACATGAAAACCAAGAAAAAACTGTTGGTGTTGGCAACAAGTGATAGATTTGGAAGAAATACATGGAAATGCAACAGAGAAAGGTGTGAAAGCTGTGTTTTTTGCTGTACGTGATGTTTTCCTCAAGGAAGAGAAACTATCAGTGGAACTGTTTCTTTTCATGAAAGATATTCGGTTGGCAGCTAGTCTAAAACCAGTGTTTATGACGGCAATGGAACCAGGTATGTACACATTAATGATCATGTGATAAAATAGAATTGATTGGTCTTTAATATGCAGTGACTCTGATAGTCAGTTTGTTTTTTCAGTTAAACCAACAGCGTTTCAAATTTTGATGTTGCCCCACCGTGGAGTAGATCCCCTTTATTTGTACTTTGCAATAAATTATCCCAAACTCAGATAGGAAGTAATGACTGCAGCTTAGCTGAATTTTCAGAACCCAAAAAGCATCCTGTAGAAAGGGGTCGGCTTATCTAAAGGTTACACTTTCACATTTGTCAACCTTTTCTCTGGTGGTAAGAAAACGACATTGTATCACTTTACGTGAACGAACATGTTAAAATGACTTTGTCAGTGAAGACGTCACATTTGCAATAAGACATCACTGGACAAGATTATTTAGCTTTTCAATTCTGATGTATTATAAGCATTAATTAAGATTAGCATTAATTGTGATCATACAGTTACAACAAATATGCCTTTTAGTGAAACAAAATGTATATACTTAGTTCGTATTCATTTTTCTGTCAACTACACTTTATTTCAAAGTAAAGAGTAGAGTATTTGTCTTTTGTACCCGAGATCTAAACCTCCCAGAGGGGTTGCATGACCAGTTCCTTGTAACTGTCACTTCAATATGTTCTGGAAAAAATTGCAATGACCTAAATGCTCCAGCATAAAATTTCTCTCCACTGTGGATGGATTTAACAGATCTATACATTTTTTGGGGAGACTATCTTGAACATTGACTGTTACTCTACTGCCTCTTTTAAATCTTAAAGGGCAAGTGAAAAAAAGATTTTAACATCATAATTCTTGTAAATATGTCATTTTCTTGAAAAACTTTTACTTGTATGAAACTATAACCTTAAAGGAATAATATTTTGCCTGATAAACCTCACACATTCTTTCCTTGGTGTGCTGGCGGCAATATCGTAAAGAAAGATTGACTTCTAAAGTTGTTCACAAAACAACATTTGTCATACACTGTTTGATTAGAAGTTAAGATGCTCCAGACATTATCCTGTTTATGCCAGTAAAGTAATTGGTGGAGGATGTTCAATATTTCTTCACCAAACGTAGCACATAGATGGGTCTGTTGGTGTATGGCATACAGGATAGCCCCTTACACTGATAAAGAGCTAAGGATGCAAGAGAGGTTGCTTTCCCGATATAAGTCCATGTCTTTGTTTACTTAACTCACATGGGTGCAATAGCTGCATTTGTTTTGCCAAGTAACACAAACAATCAAGTGTATTGTCTGTAATTATTAGTAAACTTAGTCTGGGTTGTGATAGCCTTTTCCTCAATCACTTGGTGATGTGTTTCAGACTCCCTTAGATAAAATAAATAAAAAAATTAATAACAAAGGGAGGTAATCCTTACCTAGATAACACTTGATCTCTCCTGATTACGTCCCTTGAATGCTCATATGCCAGTGGTTATCCACCCATGTCATGTTTTCCTATAGGAGGGGAACCTGTGAACATACAGTGGGGAGGTAAGGAAAATGGGTGTACCGTGTACAACCCCAAGGTAAGTTGTCTAATAATTACAGACAATACACTTGATTGTTCGTAATTATAGGCGTAAACATTCCCTCTGGGTTGTAATAGCCAATCCCACATACGGAAGGCGGGAATGTTCATAGCTACCACTTCCCAGAGGGAATATTATACCCCTGAAGGTAATACCTCAATCTCGTGTTTTGTCTGTGGTATGACATATGATAAAATATTCATTATGAAATTAGGTAAAACATTCTATATATTGAATGTACTGAAACCATATAGTGTATGTCCACCACCAATAAGGGATTTTTAGGTGAGATAAGTTGGTTATAGGGAATGATGGAGTAAATCAGGGTTATAGAAATGATCCTAATTAGTGCGCAGTTAATATTTATGAGATCACAATTCTCATGACGTCACTTCCGGTTGTTATGACGTCACTTCCGGTTTGTTATGACGTCACTTCCGGTTGATATGACGTCATTTCCGGTTGAATTTATGATAACTGATTAGATAACCCTTTTTCTTCATCATTCCTGTCATTAAGTGTAATTGATTGATGCAGAAAAGGAAAGAACACAAACCGACACCTAAGGGGAGGATATGTTAGTAAGGGAGTCCTTCACTGAATAGGGATGTCTCATAATATCTCACCTCCTAATCCAACAGATTCCCCCATAGGTTGACTGTTGATGGAACTTATGGAATCATGAATCCCTTCTTTGCATGCACGCACACACGCACGCACGCACACCCGCCGCGTGCACATACACACACACACACCCTCCTTTTTCTTGCAGAAGGATCTTTGCTGAGTACTGAGTAAGCCTTTGAGCTGCCACAAGAGGTCCAAGAGAATACAGTCCATGTAATTCCGGTGCAATATCCCGTAAATAAGTGTTGATAAAAGTATTGGAAGATTTCCACTGGCAGGAGGCCACAACGTTCTCTTTGGAAACCAAAGTCCAGGCAGAGAGAGACAAACCTAACACCCTGATCTCATGAGGAGAAAAACAAACGTTGAGATGATCTGGGTCACAATCCTGGTAAGCAATGGAGATAGTCTTACGAAGCCAAGCAGATAAGGTATTCTTGGACAGTACTGTAGTAAGGTGTTGTTTGCAGGGAATAAACAAACGACACTGCTTATGATGAAAAGAGTTTGTACGATCAAGGTACCATCGGAGAGCCCTAATAGGACACAACAGTCTAGATTTATCTGAACAATCTGGGATAGGTAACGCCGGGATGGTGTAGGACCTGGTGCCCACTGGACCATATGTTGTAGTCTGGTTCTTAGCCACAAATTCTGGAAGTGTACGACAAGTGAGACTGGCATAATGATCAGTAAAGCGGAGCGACTTAAAATCAATGGCGTGTAGGTCCGAGACATGGGCCACTGTGGCTAACTCTAATAGAAAAGCTCTCTTGAAAGCCAAGTATTTGAGCGGCACCTATTGTAGGGGTTCAAATGGTGCCTTAATAAGAGCACGTAAAACAATGCAAAGATCCCATTTTGGAAATATTGATGGAGAAGATATGTCCTGAAGTTGGAAGGAGTGTACCAACCAATGTAACGGAATCCGACATGGAGACCTTGAAATTTGCAGACTGACGCAATTGCAGAACGATAACCCTCGATAGTACCTGCTTTAAGCTTCTTTTGTGTGCGTAAATGTAGCAAAAAAATCAGCTATCATAGGAATAGTGATAGTGTGTCCGATGAGCTGTAGCTCAGATCTCCATTGGATAAAGTGTTTCCATCTGGCATCACAGAGGAGAGATGTGGATGGACGTATGGCCTGAGATATGGCTTAAATGGTGTCAGTGGCGAACCCTTGTTCCTGGAGGGCAGAGTAGATAATCGCCACATGCGAAGATTGAGAGCAGACACGTTTGGATGAAGTACTGATGAGCCCGGTTGAGTCAAGAGATTGTCCCATAGTGGTAGGACAAGAGTTTCGTCCGAGACTAGTTCCAAGAGGAGCGGAAACCAAGTTCTGGTCGGCCATTCCGGCGCTACGAGGTAAAGGACACAATGATGTAGTAGAAGCTTGGAAAGAACATCCGGGTTCACTTTGAACGTCGGGAACGCATATGCTATCATATTGTCCCAGGGAACTGACAACGCATCCACTGCCCAAGCGTTGGGATCGAGAAAAGGGCTGATATAGACTGGTAGTTGAGCTGTCCGACTGGTTGCAAACAGGTCTATGCATGGAGTTTCCCAACGATGATGGATCATGCGAAAAGCGTCCTTGTGAAGCATCCACTCTGTAGGTAGAAGTTGGCCCTTCTGGGACAGAGAGTCCGCTAATATGTTGATCTTCCCAGGGATGTGTCTGGCCCTGAGAGTGCATTTGTGAAGATCAACTAGACGATAAAGTTTCCGCGTGAGATCCATCAGAATGGAAGAGCGCGTACCTCCCTGCTTGTTGATGTATGCGACTACAGTGAAATTGTCCGTTACGATCATTACAGACTTGTGATGAAGGTGAGGCCACCAAACTGTCCAGACTCGAAGAACTGCATGTAGTTCTAGCACATTTATATGGTATGTTTGTTGCCACAGATTCCAAGTACCTTGTGTCTGGAGATCGTTCATGTGTGCACCCCAACCCGTCCCTGGACCTGCATTGATTGATCCAACATTGAGTGAATCGAAGATGTAATCGGCTGCGACATGTGAAGTCCTGCACGGACGTGAGCGATCCTACTAGGGACATCCAAAGTCCTGAGTGACACTGCAGAGCTGCTGATGAGATGTAATATACGATCCCTGACCGAAATCCAATGATCCTGATTGGGAAGAATACGGCATGTCATATCATCTAGGATGGCCCCTAAGAACTTGATTCGTGATGTTGGAACAATTTCGGACTTGTCAGGATGGATAATAAAGCACAGATGAGAAAAAACATTGATAACAAAGTTGGTATGGCTGAGGAGTATGTCCGTACAAGTGTGGTGATTCAGAAAATTGTCCAGGTAACCATGAATAGCCACATGCCGTAGATGAAGGAAATGGAGAACCGGATTCATGACCATCGTGAAGAGCCACGGAGCTATAGATACGCCGAACGGGAGAACACAAAACTGGAACCGACATCCCTTGACCGCAAAACGGAGGTATTTTTGTGACTGAGGATGTATCGGCACGTGGAGGTAAGCATCCTTTAGATCGAGACTGGTAAACTTTGTGTTTGGAGGAAGAAGCTTGCAAAGATTGCGAAGGGATTCCATTGTGAATTTGGGAAGCAGACGTAAGAACTGTTTGTTCAGAATATTTAGGTCGATAATCATCCTCATCTCCGGAGTAATTTCCCTCTTGGGTCTTAGGAAAACCGGAGAATAGAAACCTGGAGAACAATTCTGAGAAGGTAACTCTACAATGGCTTGCTAGACAAGTAATTGTTGGATGGCCGTGAGGGCAGCTGATAGTCGAGGTCCCTTTAGGTAAAAGCGTCGACCCATAGGAGATACCATTAGGCGAGGAGGAAGATCGAACTGTAGATAATACCCTTTCTGTATTAGAGAAGGAATCCTGGGATCGTCTGTGATCTGAGTCCAATTTTGATAATAAAGTGAGAGAGGCGGCCGCCGACAGATAAAGTTCGAATTGTTTGTTGACAATGCATAATCAGGTTCAAATCCGGGGACGGTTCCGAGTTGATAGGAAGTGATAGTTGAGTGACGGGAGTGGATAAGTCATCGTCTACGGGATAGTGAGTGGGAGGCTTGAAGAACCCGGGAGGATCTGACCACGTTTGAGTTTGAGGCATACCACGGTGAGAAGTAGAAGGAGGCGTGTCAGATTGAGATGCCGCTCTGTCGAATGCGGAACGTTGATAGCAGTGTGGGGGGAGGGGGGGCGAGATAGCGACGAAGCTCGTCTACCATGAGTGAGAGGTCTTGACGGATGATTCTGTGTCAATAAAGCAGATGCCAGTTGTTGGTTCAAACTCCTAGTAACTCAAGCATCCTGAGAAGCGACTGTTTCATCACATTTCCCATTAAAAAGAGAAGTAGCTTGCACACGGGCTGTTGAAACAGTTCATCCTTGGCAGCATCTGGAATGTTCTTAACTCAGTATAACATGTAAGCACGCTCCAAGGCCACCAAACGACCCATAATATTAACCTGGGTGGAAGTGACATCCGATACGGCTTGATAGCATTAGCCCATTCGTTCTTAGATGTGATCTATTTCCTGTGCGGGCATAGCCACCATGGTATCTGCTTTGATGCCCGAAAAATCGTCAAACACCGGAGGAGTTGGCGAACGCCCGAGGCGAACCAATTTATGTAAGATAAAATATCAATTGAGGATTGCGCTCCGTGATCTTTCAAGTCTCTCTGAGCTACTGGAATTTTGTATGAAGACAAGCGAGAAGCACGTGGGTCCAACGATGAAAATTCCTTAATTAATTCAGGAATAGCCGATGGAAAGAGACGATCATGAATAGCGTAGGACTGTCGAAGCTGCTACGATAGTACAGTAGATGTCTTGGAAAGAGATTCATTAAAGGATGACATAAGGCTGAGCGCACAACAGTAGAGTGAGGCAATGTAAGCTTGGGTAGCTTCTGAGGTGGTAATATGCCGGAAGAGCCGAGCTCCGCTGGGATAACCCTTCTTACAGCCGTGGACAGGGGCAGAACCGTGCACGGTTTTAATTCATGTAATAAGGCAATTTTCTCCGAATACACCCCACCCGGAGTAAAGTCATTTGCTTGCATATCCATTGATGGTACAGTGAGAATGCCTTCATGCATAGACACTTGGGTATCAGTAAGAGGATAAATGCCTTGATTATCCGATTCCATTACATCCGAAAATATGGGAATAAGAGGCGGATTATCAACATCCATGTGATCCACACCTGTTGGAGGAAGCACATCCGCGGTATCTGATGGTACAGAATGTACGGGCGGCTCCTGAGCCGTGGAACCCGTAAGATTTGAATCCAGCTCTAGTCCGGCAGACCTTGACACCTTGGTCTTGTCTGGGATGGTGGATATCTGAGAGAGTGGCAACGCCTTGGTTACCAACAACTCTTCAGTTTGAGTGATGTTAGCCGTCGAATTTTCCATGAAAGACCGATGGATATCGGCAAAAAAGAATTCCTGAGTAGACTGAGATTCAAGTTTAGATGCGGCAATAGAACGTTTTAATTCCTTGATCTTTGAAAAGCTCCTTTGTTCAAGATCCTTTAAGGCCGATCCAAACGAGGAATTAAGGTCCTCCTTAAAGGACGCCGGCATAGCCGAAAAAGAGTTTAAATCCAGCACTGGTCGAGCGGGATTACAATCCGGTGTAACCGGTTTACTGCATTTAGATTTCTTACGTGGCTCTGAAGCCAGCAAATTAACGTTTTTTGGTGCAAAGCCTAGCCGCGTTCATAGAATTCCACTCACTTTCTGATAAATCATGGCACAACAAACAACGCGTTGCTAACGTACAAGGGGGGTCCGTGGTACAAGCCAAACACAACGAATGAGGATCCTTATCGGATTGGTAACGCTGACAGCCAAAAAATTTCTTCTGAGACATGATACAAGTTCGCTAACGCACGTGGCTAAACAAAATGGTGGGAAAAGTTAAACAAGTTCACACTGCAAACTTACGTCAGTTAAGAGTTGGATATGCAAAAATACGAATGCCTTAGCACAAATGCGACAGTACGAACCTAGTCTCACTATATAAATTTGAACTTGAACACAAATGTGAAAATCCAAGGAAGTCCCGGAGAGAATAGAGGAAAATATGACATGGGTGGATAACCACTGGCAGAAGAGCATTCAAGGAAAGTAATCAGGAGAGATCAAGTGTTATCTAGGTAAGGATTACCTCCCTTTGTTATTATTTTTTTTACTTATTTTATCTAAGGGAGTCTGTAACACATCACCAAGTGATTGAGGAAAAGGCTATCACAACCAAGAGGGAATGTTTACGCCTATAATTTCAGGTGTTTACAGAGGAGACTAAACACATGGTAACAAGCCAAACACATGTGTACTTGTTAAATGTTATACCGTATTTCTGGATTTCAGGCAACATAGTGTGCTTTCTATGATATATTTCTGAGGCATTGCTTTGAGCTTTGGATGGATTTAAGAGATTCTTCTTTCTGTGGTTCATTAAAGTAGCTTGTTCCATATAGAATAATGTCATCTCAGAATAGTACAGTATGTAGTCATAAAGATATGGGTACAATGTGTGTAGCCTATTTCTGGTGTTTCCTGTCGTGATATTGCTGGAATATTGTTAAAAGCGACACATACCTTAACACCTTTACCACATTTTGCTTGAGGGATGTGACCCAGTACTTGCAAGGACAGCAAAACTTAGGGTCCCAGTCTATCTTCACTTCCTAGCCTTGCTGGGGGGTTGGGCATAGAAATTTCACCTTCATGATTGAGAGAACATGCTTGCAAAACAGGCCTAACATGTTTGTGTTTTGAGAAGAAATACCAGGAAACAGAAGAAAACAGTCATCACCTAGAGTCCACTTTAAGTTTGGACCTGAGGTTGATTGTTGTTTTCCCGGAAAACCTCATTGCTGCACATAGTTGAGTCTATAAGCCTCAAAGTGTAGACAACGACTAAAATTGGCAGCATGTCATATCCAGTCAGGGATAACACTTGGTCTTCCTGGAGATATGGACCGGAAGTGATGTCATCAGAACTCACTGTGTCATCATCATCCAAGAATTCATTAACCAAGAATTATGTCATAGTCCACCAAATCATTCAGTACAACAGCAAGAGATGTTCTCGAGTGTTGTCACAATAACCAAACACAGGTATCTTGGTCATATCAGTAAACCCCTAGCCTAGTCCGGGATTCGGATAATCCAGTGTTAGAGAGACATATTGTTAAGAATTATGAAGTATTATCAACAATGATAATATTCTCAAAATACTACGTCTAACATACGAGGCCATCCTTTCCTGGAATCTGAAAGGACCCCTGAAGATCTGGAGTAGAATAGGTCTTCAGCAACCCATTCTTTCCACAGAAGGAGACTATGCTTGTCGTAAGAGGCGACTAATGGGATCAGGTGGTCAGGCTTGCTGACTTGGTTGACACATGTCATCGGTTCCCAATTGTGCAGATCGATGCTCATGCTTTTGATCACTGGATTGTCTGGTCCAGACTCGATTATGGTAATAACAGTCCGCCGCCACTTAGCTGGATTATTGCTGAGTGCGGCATAAAACTAAACTCAATCTCTCACTGGAATATGAGAGTACTTTTCACTAAAGTTACCTTGAAAGTCATGAAGTTCCCCTTGCTTATCAGGGAAGATAATTCCTTCAGATGGTGTTTGGGAAGACCACTTCGACATAGACAACACAACTCAGTGGAGTTTAAGAATAAGTTTCAAGGGGGGAAAAGGCTAATCAAGTGTTAGGGGTAGTATTCTAAGAATTATTATCATTGATGATAATCCTTCAAGATTATAAGGTTTGACATAACGTTTTTAAAGAATTGTCATATCAAATGAAAGTGAATTTCTGTACTTGTGGTTAATGGTTATTTTATTAATTTCAGTTTAGTATAAAATGAGCAATTCATGTAAACATTGTTGGGATCAGGGGAAGAGGGCCATTGGTATTTAATTCACAAATCTTAACATATTTTTACAGGAGACATGACATCAAAGAAGAGGCCGACACTGACAGTAGGAAGGTTGGCCCAAGTAAAGGTAAATTATTTAACAGCAGGCAGTATGAAAGAAGTATATCATTAAACAGTCAAGGAACATGTTGAATGTCCATGAGATCAGTGTTTCAGTTCATATGATGGGTATCAATCTTTTGTCAACAGTTAGTATTTGGTAGTTAATGAAACCAGTAAATGAGATACAAGTCATTGTTTTAGTCGTGTTCTTAAACCTATAGCGACATATGGTTTGGATACTTCAAGTACAACTAACACCACATATTGTTGCAAATAGAAATGTTGTCATAACTTTTAAAGCAAACAACAACTTTATTTGAATTACATATAATTAAACTTGACATATACTAACTGAAAAAAGCAACTGGGCATAACATAAAATTGCATAAAATAGAAGTTATGACAATATATGTAGCAAAAGCACTTTCCATAAATTTTATGTCACGTATAGCACATGGCACGTGCACTTTGCGCACAGTGAACTTACTCATATTTTGCATGCTTTTTGACATCTGAAGTTCACACACCAGTGCTTATTCTCTAGCCTCAGAATGTTGTGGAAAACATTACTTTCAACCTAAACTTTGTGTATGTCATGTTGTGGCTTACAGAATATGGTATGGCCCAAAATGAAGTGGTCAGACATTTTGGTGTCCATCAAAACGTGATCTCACTTTTATGGAGACATTTCAACTTAATGGGAACACGAGAGATTTGCCTCAGTCTGGCCGTCCATGCATGACGTCACGTCAGTGAGACAATTACATTCACCTGACCTTTTTAAGGAATTGATACATCCGGTCCTGGCAGCTTGCAATACATCCAATTTTGCTCCAACATCAGAGACAGGCACATCTTGCCCAGTGCAGAGAGCATCGACGGTATGGAATCAAGATTGGGATGGTGTTGAGTCGAGATTTCAGATGGCAGGGCAAGGGTGTTCTGACGGTATGGTGAATGGTATGTGTGTGTTCAACGCCGACAGTTTGGTGGCTGCAGCATTATGGGGGCCATCACATCTCATGGTCAGACACAACTTGTTATTGTGCATGGCATTCTGACAGGTCTGCAATAGTCATAACAAGAGCAGTTCTTAATGAAGGATGATGTTTATTTTGTTGAAAGTTGGGGAGGAAGGCTGAAAAGAGAGAACCTCCTCCTATGAGAGTTCATGCTGAATAGGTATAATTTAAGCCAAATAGTTTAAATGGCTGTAGCACATGGTTGAAGGCAATGTGCTCAGTCAGAGTTACAAAATATCCTGGTAAATATTTGGATAATGTAGGAAATTATATTGTAATTAAACTTATTTTACAATTATGAAGTAGTGAGATACCCTTAAAGTACAAAAATCTTTCTCACCTAAAAAGAGAGAAACTCCCTCCTATAAGAGTTCATGCAGAATGCATGAGGAGGGCAGGTGAGAAAGGAAGTTCAGAGAGGGGAACCAAAAGGCCAATCAGAATACAGGTAGCATCTGACAGGTGTCAAAGGAAGTCAGATGCTGGACAGTTGCATTAGGTTGTGGAAGTGTCTGAAAATAGAGAAGGGGAAGTCCAGGGAAAGCTGGAGAGGCTGCTAAGGGTATTAAAGATTTAAGATGTTAGTGGGCTGACATTCAACTGCAGACAAGGACAACATATAATGAAAACAGCATGAAATGATGATGATGATGATGATGATGATGATGTGGATGACAAATATGGTTACATGTATATGTAGATATTTATCATAAGATGGGGGGGGAGGGGATTATGAGCAGGTGGTACTTAAGTGGTCATACTCAGTCAAAGGTATAGCCCACCACCCTGCTGCACCCACTTCAGCACTATTTTCTTTCAGCTCATCCATGTGCAAAGGCAGGAAAGGATCATCTTTCCAGTGTATCCTTGAGAAGACATCTTCTACATAGCTATGCCTGTCTGGCACAAGGCTTAGTAGTCACACTCATTCTAGTTCCTTTTAAATGTTTGTTAAATGAATGTACTAGAAGAGGTTGTTATTTGCCTTTTTATCAAGACATGTTTTACGGGTATTCGTTGGCATTATCCATGTTTGTGAATTCTTGTATGGTATCACCTGCAATTCTGTGTACATATTAAAGGTAAAGTTGACTCCCATCATCTGAATTTACTCCTCGACAAGTATTCCCAAGGATGCTGAACCTGCCTAAAATACCCTTAGAAGAATTCCTCGGCAATGAGGTTGCATGGATGAATCCTTCAGACATTCAGCTGCATGGAGGACAGTTATCAGCAGAATTATGACCTCTGTCATCTATCTATATTTGGCCCTACAACTCCTTGAGGGTGTCCTGCATCGATCCTTATCAAAGACCAGCAGCACCGCTGCATGAGATGGCCACCTGACACAGTCATGATGTGGGGCTTACTGGTTACACAATCACCATACCCACTCTGGCCATACAATCCATCTCAGGTGTGATTAGGTGACCCATGAAGGACATTTCACAGTTCCCACACAGGTTCTCCCTCTGGTATGGTATCAACACAATCTGTCACAAACATAGCCAATACCATACAGTGCTGAGCAAGATCAGTATTGGCTATGTTCCCCCTTCCAGGATTGTGACCACTTGAGTGATACACCATATAGGTTCACAGCTTAGTGGACTTCATCATTGACACTCCCACAAGGAGACAGTCTCTTGAGCATCGCTATCCAGCATGCTTAGCATCACATACCAATTCATTTTGTAGTACTAGTATATGGTTACCACTAAGAGTTCAGTATACTTCTGTCAAGATCTCAAACATACAGTCATTCTTTCACCAGGATACCTGCACCAGAAAGTTTGTTTTTTGTTTTGAGTTTTGTCCAACTCCATCAGGTTTGGCTCCATGGATTAAGGGGACATGTCTAGCGGGACAATTCGCTCTACTTTCTTGATTCAAGAATTTCAGTTTTGAACTCTTCCCCTGGTAATTGCATGTATATTGGGCCTCCATCTCAGGATTTTCTATGCCCTCCAAAGGATCAATTCATATCAGTGCTCCTCATATTTGATAAGACACTGACTCGGCCATATGGTTTTGATCTGATGGTGGTCGTTCTTGTTGGGCAAGTTAACCTCTCTTCAGGAGATGACATACATAAGCAAGTTAAAGTTTGACAATCATGGATCAATTCTGCTTCATATCATTCTCAGGAAACTAAATTCTTTCATAACTTACAACACATCATGACCAATGATAGTGGATGCGTTGTGACCATTTATTTTAGGGCATTTCTTTTGTCCTCTAACCATTTCAGCTTCTATGTACATCTGTTCCATACAAGATATCATAGCATTCCAACTAACTTTTGTTTGAGGGACACACAACCATATTTCAAGGCATACATTCTCTTGGACCGACAGTGGCTGTTGAAGCTAGTGTTAGGCCAGAGTTTTTCTCTCTTCTATGGAAAAATGTGGGCAGGAACAAGGATATCAGCAGTAGCTATAATAGGTGAGTACAGCAAGTGAAACATAGTGATCGGGAATTGTGAAAATTCATCAAAAGAAGAAAGATGTTATCAGACCTGCAGTGACATTATATTGGAAGAAAAAGAGTGGCAGTGAAGCCACAACCTTAGAAATTGGCAAATGGTGTCTGAAGTTTTGTTATTACAGCCATAATCAAACTCTCATCAGTAATCATTACTTATTTTCAAGTCCTCTGGAGGTTAATGGTTGGATGTCATCTCCTTTAAGGGCAGTGTTTGCAATGATGCAGAAAACCTGCGTATTTGTGCACAAATTATCTCAAATACACAGTGAATTTAGAAGCCTCAAACATTACTATGGCCTACAAGATTATCTTGAGATTTGTAAAGTCTAGCATTGACATACATGAATATCAGAGTAATCGCATGGGGATGGTTATTTGAATGTGACACAACAGCAGTATCCAGAACTTCCGGTTGATAACATTGACCAGTGAGTGTCTCAGGTACTGAAATGAAATCCAACTTGCTGTTACTCAAATCATAACCCACTTTATCACCAAGCCGACACCTAAGTGTTCAGTTGCATCGATCGTCCTGGTGATCTGCCTCGTTATGATGTCCTCATACATGGCAATGTAGAAAATAGCAACTTTCACCAGAACAATGAACCCTATGCCTTGTCTTCAAGTTACAGTTTCCTCGGAGCCTGATCTTACCTGACATTACTGTCTGTGCGTATCTGTGAGGAGGGAACATCTGATCAGATGATATACCCTCCGACCTGCAGTCTGGAGGCTCCTTCTGATGGTACTTGGGAAGAGTAGGACTCCCACTGACACTGCATTGCCGGCACAGTTCTTTGGCATGGATCTTAAAATTCATCTTGCCAATCTTGAATAGATGGTTCGGTCATCACAGTCATTGGTCTTCAGTTTTCTTTGTTTACTTCACTGATGTCCACATGCTTCCTCACAAGTTGACTAATACATGTTGACTAATATAATAAAAAGATGTTGTGGCAGGACATCCCTTCATCATGCAATCCAATAACTGGCCATTGTGTATTTTCTGAAAGTCTGCCATGTCAAGAAAAGGCAAAATTTAGTAGTGTCATTGTTTAGAACCATTCAGAAAACTGTAGTGCACATGCTGCAATAATGAAATGTATTCCCCAGTATTCTTGGAGCCATCAGAGCACTTTGACATGCTGCACATGCTGTGATCATATGTCTGTTTTTTCAAATTGCTGTTGGATTCAGGTGGTGCATAATAAATGTCAACAGTTATGCACAGTTGACAGTGAAGAAGACATCTGATGAAAACCTGAAGGTTTGGATTTAGTGTGTTTTGTATCCAAACACAGGATTAATGATAATGATGTAAATGAGGTAATCTTCATGGAATGATTAACAATGATTACCATTGTTTGATATTTCAGTGATTTTATATGCCTGACATATGTCAAAGTCATGTCTGTCCTTAATGTCATTCATGCATTGAGAAACTTGCAAACAGAATGGTCACAAAATGTTGTTCAGACTTCATACCCCTCAACCTAACCTGTGCTTGCTGTTTAAATTGTATTGCAAGTTTGAAGCTGATTGTCATTATACAAGGGTGTAAGGTTCCTGAACTCTGAGGGATCAAGAGTTCTTATTTTAAAGCTGTGTAAGCACAGTAGTGAACACATAAAACTTTCTTACTGATACCTTGAGTCTTTGAACTTTCTTTTTAAAAATTGTACTCTACAGGGAATAAAGAAGATCATACAAGATTAATATGTTCACATATCTAACTAAACAAGACTAGTTAAGCAGTCCCTACAGCCTTCTGTGTTAAACTTTTTAGAATATTTAATGCCTATTTTCTTGACTTCTTTTGATAAGTTAAAGAAGTTGCGGGGGATATAGAAACGAGTTCTGTGTGTCCGTAACACTTTGTCCGAAGCATATCTTCTAAACTATTCGTGATAGCTTAACCAAACTTGGTACACATGTCAACCATGATCGCTAGATGTGCCTTTTGGGGTCTAGACCCAGATATGAATTATATTTTTTGCTGTTTCCCAGGAAACATGACTTAGGCTGTGACTATGAGGATATCATCTTCTCTGGAGCAGATCTCCTAAACTATACATGCAAGCTTCCTCAAACTTGGTACATATGTCAAGCATGATCCCTAGATGTGCCTTTTGATGTTTAGACCCAGATATGATTTTATTTTTTGCGGTTTCAATGGAAACGCGACTTGGGGCTGTGGCTATGAGGATGTCATCTTGTACAGAACAGAACTTTAAAACCGTTCAATATTTCTTCACCAAACTTGGCACAGAGATAGATCTGGTGGTGTACTGGTGCCTTTTGGTAGTTTTGAATTTCTGAATAAAATATTTTTTTGAGTTTCTATTGCAACAAGTTTGACTTAGACTGAAATTGGTGGTAGTGCTCTTTTCCGGAGCAGAACTTTAAAACCTTTCAATACTCTCCTTCCACTTTGTAGTATAGTCACAGACTTGGTTGACACATATCATTCATGATGATTGTATCCCATTTGTGTAGATGGATGCTCATGCTGTTGATCACTGGATTATCTGGTCCAGATTCTATTATTTACAGACAGCTGGAATAATGGCGAGTGTGGCATAAACTCACTCACTCTTATATACACACCAAAACATTTGACATAGTCGTAACTAACTGACATATTCATGAAGAGTATTTTGCCATTGTGGGGTATATTGATGATTTTGTCTTCTTGTTTTCTTCCTTTCAACCCAGGCTGATGTGCTGGTCAATACAACATCACTGAAACTGGAATTAAATCAAGGAGCTGTGTCAAAGTCTTTACTGAAGGAGGCAGGAAAGGACATTCAGAAAGAATGCAACACAAAATATCCACAAGGAATAAAACATGGAGAAATTGCTGAAACAGATGCAGGCAATATTAAAGGTTGCAAAGCAATTTATCATGGAGCACTGCAAATCGTTGACGAAAAAGGGCTCATGGAAATCGAGCAAAAGGTATCTATAAACTCAGCATCAATACTGAAGGGTCAGTGTTACTTTTAAAATTACCTACATTTTCACAAAATCAGATTATCTAAAAAAGCCATGTTCAGTCATTTGACGAAAAGGGTGATTATTGCACGTTTTACAAAATATTGTTAATGTGTTTTCAATTGAAAGAGTGAAAGCTGAAAAATATTTTATTTCTATTTCCGTGAGTACTTTCGAACACTAGTTATCATATTCCAGTGGCACCGATCAATGCTTAGTAATAAGACCCGTGAAGATCCGGGATAGTATTGGTCTACAGCAACCCGAGCTTGTCGTAAGAGGTGACTGCTGGGATAGGGTGGTCAGGCTCTCTGACTTAGTTAATGCATGTTGTTGCGTCCCGTTTGCTTATGTTTATACTCATGCTGTTGATCACTGGATTGTCTGGTCCAGGCTTGATTATTTAAAGACCGCTGCCAAGTAGCTGTAATATTGCTGAGTGAGGCATTAATAAACCAACCAATTCTCATAATGTTAATAACTGGATTGTCTGGTCCAGACTTGATTATTTACAAACCTCCATCATGTAGCTGGATTATTGCTGAGTATGTTTAAACAACCAAACAAGTCATATGATGTTGTAGAATCTCCAGAGAATACTGTTTTTAAAGCCAATATTGTGTTGATCTGACCTAACAATGCTACGTGATTTTAATGAGGACACCGAGGCTGAAGCATTACAACTTGGTTTGAGATGTTGAACCTGTTTATCATTCATGAAAGTTTGCTGTGTGTGCTTGTCCTCAGAACTGCAATTCTGAGCACTACCAACACTAGCTACCCTTTTAGACATGGGTTTTAGTAAAAAATAACAAATTGGTCAACTTGATTCCTGAAAAATTTCTATCAAGTAAAACAAGTTTGTCAGAACGACTGATGAAGTCTTGTTTTCATAATAGAAGCTGTTGGTATAACCAAAGAGCCCTTGAAAGCTTACAAGGAAACAAGTGAAAAATAGATAAGATTTGAAAAAAACAAAGATCAAAGAGAATTCATGTTTGTTATGTTATACTGGAAGCTTGAAGGCCTGTCAGTTTCACAAGTAAATATGTGAAAATACTCCTCTCAGCATTGGTGGATCATGGTTTGCATTAAATCAAACTTATGCAATTACTCTTATTTCAGAAAGGATGAATGTGTGGTAGTTGAGAAATTGTAATTTTTCCTTATCCTGACTCATGCTCTTTTGCTTGTCTTCTTCTTCTTGCAAACATAGTGGAACACTTGTATCTCCCTATTGAAGCTCCCTTCAATTGAAACATACGTAAAGTCACTGATCACTACTCACCAAGAGTTGTCCCTCTTTTCTCCCCTGGTGGGAAAGACGGCACCACCGTATCCCACATGCTTCACTCTCTCCTTCTTCGCCCAGTGAGCAGGATGTGAGAGCGCCCCTGTGAGTCTCCCTACAGCACTATATCCTTTGATTTTTCTTACTTAGTTACCTTTACAAGTCCCTTATAGAGGTTTAGCTAGTATCCTTCAACAATATGCTTTGATATTTATTCGTATTTACTGCTGTTTATTCGCGGTGTATGACGTGATTGTTCAGTAGGTTACGTTCATGAAAATCTGTACGCTTTGCAAGTTATGTTTTTCTGCTGCTGATCTGCATTTAATATGCCCTAGCTGTACTGTACCATGTTCCTTTAGTTCACGTTGCAGTTATTGTAATAATTTATCTAATTCTGCTTTTAACAAATAATTACTTTGCGTCTTAAGACGCGCAGCAGATAGGTCACGCAAGCTAGAGCCAGGCATGGATAATGCTACCGAGTCCTTTTCAAGTCAACTGCTCTCCCGTCTGGTGTTCCGCTAGAGTTTCCTTCGGAGAAGAGACGTGGGACGCAGTCGGCCGTCTCCAAGAAGCGTCCTGCATCACCAGACATCCCGTCGTTGCAGCCTAAGACTAAGAGGGCATCTACTTCTCAGCGCATACTCCGCACCCCCAGGGCAGCGTCTACCACCAAGGGGAAACCAACGCAGACCGCACAAACTTTCTCGGCCGAGATTGTTCCAGCTACAGAACACGGCCTGTATGATGAGCAGCCGCTCATCATACCCGATGTCCATCACAAAAGACGGCCGGTTTCAACTACAGTGACGTCAGCGCAGCTCCACAATCAGCCCAATGTATCAACGCTGAGGACTGACAATCTTCCCATGGGTCCCATCGCTACCAACACTGATAGGGCAGCACCTACAGCTTCGCAGACCGTCCCGAACGACTTGGTGCAACAACTAATGAAGTTGATGGAAGACCGCTACGGACTGGAGAAGAAACAACCAGCCCAGGACCTGAGCCTTCGCGAAGGCTCCACCACAGACGTCACCCCTGAGGGACCTCGCATCAACGTAGCGGCTGCTACCAAGTCACCACTGAGGGAAGGACGTCACAGCCAACCTCTGCGAAGGACATCAAGATCGTCACCTACCTCGGACTCCGATGATCAACGTTCGCGAAGGCGTTCACGAAGGAGGATCCTCTCATCCCCGGACTCAGATGAAGCTTCGCGAAAGCTTTCGCGAAGGACAAGTCGTCACTCCCCAGATGCGGACTCAGAGTCAGAGTCTCCAAATCATCTTCGTCCCGGAGATCATCGAGGGATTCCCCAGGAGCTTCGCGAAGCTATCCTCGCTCACCTCCACGAAGGTCACCATATAGACGCCGCTCGTCGGCCATTCTCCACGTCGATCTCCTCGTAGGTCTCCACGCAGATCGCCACACAGGACTCCACGCAGGTCGCTACGAAGGTCTCCGGACAGGACTCCACCTGCGTCACCATCAGAAGAGTACCATCGGCCTCTAATCAGCGATCCTGTTACTGAAGATGATGGAGGCATCATATTCTCCGACGCGGAAATCCGGTATTGGATGGTCAACAACTTCGATTTGGCTTCGCCTTCTAAGGATGATAATTTGGCTAACACCTATAATATGAATTAGGATGACGCTGACACAGTCACCCTACCTCCGATTGACCCGATAGCATCAGTTCCACAGAACCTGGATACAGCATTCCTAAAGCTCAGGCGCCGCAGTTACCACAGTTCAACGCCAAGAAGTTCTTTGCCCATAATATGGACCCCTTCCTTAAAGCACAAGAAATCGATGATAACTTTAAAGTCATCAACGATGCTAAGGCCAAGGCATACAGGATTGAGGATCACAAGCTGGCCCAAGTCGAGACTATGACCAGAAGAATGTTTTTCGGCCTCAACAGATCCAGGACTGTCAACGAAACGCTCATCACTAGATTTCGAGATTCCACATCAGAAGACGACAGAATGGTATACTCGGCCCTCCTTATGCAAAAGAAGGACCAACAGTTCATGACGGATCACCTTTCATCCATCTCCGCAGCTCTTACTCTGGCTCGTCGTCAAGGTCTCCTCGCCAACTGCAGTTGGGGTGAACAGTTCACAACACCGCTCTATTCAGCCCCATGGTCAACGCCATCCATCTTCGCTGGAGGAATTGATAAAGTCTCTAAAGAAGTCACTAAGGATTCAAGAGAAGTCCTCATGATTAAATCTGTTGACACTTTGGCCAGCGTCATCAGACAGACATCTCAGAGATATTCCGGAAGATCCAAGTTTCCTTGTTTACAAAGAGCACAGGACAGAAAGATGGTCGGCGTCAGAGGTAGTAAGGACGCTTTTCGTTGCCCATCCGGCAACTACAGAGGAGGATCTGGAAGAGGCAGGATACCCAGAGGCTCCCGCAACTATCGTCGATGAAAATCGGGTTTGGAACGACTGGAGTCTTCCACCCCAGCCGTTCCTGTACAACCTTCACAAGTGGGTGGACGCCTTCAACTGCACTGGGAGAACTGGGGAATACTACAAGATCCATATGTATCCAACATCCTACAACACGGATATCGCATCCAACTACAGGCCACGCCTCCACTTACAGTCAACCCTCACAAGTTCGACTTCCAGGCACAACAACTACTGAAGTTACGAGGAGCTGTATCATCTCTCCTAACCAAGCAAGCCATAGAAATCATGGATCAAGTAAACATCGAACCAGGTTTCTACTCCCCAGTTTTCCTAGTGCCCAAGAAAAATTCCAAGGAAAAGTTCCGACTCATCTACAACATGAGCACGTTTAAAAGGGATTATCTACGCAAACCGCCAACGTTCCCATGATACATCTACCTCAACTACTGCACCTCGTTTGTCCGATAGACTACATTTCCAGTATAGATGTACAGGATGCCTTCCTGCATATCCCAATACATCCCGACTCAAGGAAGTACCTACAAGACAGGCTACACTACCAATGGAAGGTCCTACCGTTTGGAATATCATCGGCCCCCTGGTTGCTTACAAGAATAACGAAACCCATCGTCACTTACCTACATCGTCAATGGCTACGCAGTGCGTTCTACCTCGACGACGGGATTCAAGTAAATCAAGATCCAGAGCGTCTCAAACTACAGTTGAATTTCACCATCAAACTACTATCGCAGCTAGGATGGTTTGTGAATCTACTCAAGTCGTACCTAGAACCTACACAAGACCTGCAATTTCTAAGCATCAGATTTCTCACGACACAGAACCGTATCGTCGTACAAGAGGACTGATGGCTCAAGATTCAACAGACGATCCCTCAAGCCTTACCTCTCCGTTAACACCACGACAGTGGCAAAGTCTGTTGGGTCTCCTAACTTCAGCACAAGACATGACAGCCAGGGGCAGACTACAGTTTCGCCCGTTACAGGTCTTCATCAACGCTCAACTGGACAACCTTCAACCCTTCGGTCTACCGAATCAACTCAGACCTCATCTACTTTGGTGGACCCGGAGGTCGAATGTTTGCGAAGGCATCTATTTAACAGAGCCGGAGTTCAAGACCCATCTCTATGTCGACGCGTCACTCCAAGGTTGGGGAGCTGATCTCGAAACCCGGACGACAGCAGGGTTATAATTGGAACCAAGAAGAGAGCAATCTGCACATCAACATGCTCGAAATGAAAGCAGTAATCAACGCCTTACGTCATTGGAGCACCATTCTACAGAATGCGCATCTCATGATCCACACCGACAACTCAACAGTGGCGTTTTATATGAACAAGCAAGGCTCAACAAGATCATTGAACCTACCGACTCTATGCTTTCAACTGTTCGACCTGATCGACGATCTCAACATACATGTGAGAGCATGCCACATTCCCGAGCGCAATTTAATGTACTAGCAGACGACTCTCCCGCCAAATCTACCGTCACCAACAGAATGGAAACTCCACCCCGAAATCTTCGCTCAGATTATCATGGAAATAAGAGCTCCATTAATAGACCTATTCGCCACTCGCTTTAACAATCAGCTAACAACATTCGTCTCACCAGTCCCAGATCCACAAGCGTCGGCAACGGACGCTCTAAGCATATCCTGGGAAGGCCTCAATGCGTATGCGTTTTCGCCGCCAGCTCTAATACCAAGGGTATTACAGAAAATCAGACAAACTCAGAGCCTCCAACTGATTTTGGTCGCACCCTATTGGCCAGCGAAAACATGGTTTCCCATTCTAACACAAACAATCGGACAACCAATAATACAACTTCCAAGGAGTTCGAATCTACTGGGACATCCTCACACAAAACAAGAGCACGACAACCCAGGAGCATTCCAACTTCACGTATGGACTGTAGTAAAGCGTGTTTAAACAAGAGAGGTTACTCAGCCAGAGCGGCGAAAGCAGTCACGCTTGTTTTACGCAATTCTACACACAACTCGTATGAAGACAAGTGGCACAGTTTTGAGACATACGCTGCTAGAAAGGGATTTACAGCTAGAAATGCTACACATCCTCTAGTGGCAGACTATCTTGGCACCTACGACAAACCAAACGTCTAAAAGGCTCTACATTTTCAACGTACCTCGCAGCACTAACTTCAGTGATAACTATGAGGACGAGTACTAAGCTAACCAAGACACCAGAGTTACTGGCCTTGCTACGCTCTTTCCGATTGGAGGATCAGAAACAGAGATTTCGCGCTCCAGCGTGGGATCTCAATGTTGTGCTTCAACACCTCACAAGTGAGGCTTACGAACCACTGGAATCAACATCATTTGAATTCCTAACACAGAAAACATTGTTTCTGCTATCCTTAGCAACAGCAGCCAGGATGTCGGAAATCCACGCTCTAGACTACGAGAGGACACGGTTTGACGACAATCAAAACTCAGTGCATATGGGACTTTATCGCCAAGAATCAATTGCCAGGTCAACCGGACAGACAATTCCATTTCCCTGCACTTTCCCCCGTACTTGGACCTCTTGATACGCAGGACTTATCACTATGCCCAGTGAGAGCACTCAAAGTTTATTTACAATGATCCAAAACTAGGCGACGAAAATTCAAGCGATTATTCATCCCTCTATCTACAGCGACACAGACCGAAGTTTCTTGCACTACGATATCTATATGGATCAGGACTGTCATACTACGAGCCTACAAGGCTGCAGGTCTCGAACCTCCAAGAGCTCTAACCCTCACGAAATTAGGGCACTGGCTTCTACACTCGCTCTACATGGGAATTGCTCGCTGAATACAATCATGGAGGGCTGTTTCTGGAAATCGGACATGGTGTTTGCTAACTGCTACCTGAGAGATATCGCCACCGAGGACGTCTCAGGCATTCACCATTTCGGTCCTTTGGTCCTCGCACAGCAGTTGACAGTTCCTCGTAGATGATGAGACGTAGTCTCACTATATTATATCAATAATTATCAGCTTACAACTCTACGGAGTTTTTGCGTTAGTCTACATGTATATCTTAAGTCTAGATTAGTCTTAAGCCCAGTACTGGTTTTACTTGTACAGTTGGGTCGCTTCTCCACTTTGGAGTCGCTTTATTTCTTATTTATCTTAATATTGTAGTGCTCCCATCTATGGCATCTGGTAGAACTAAGGTATGATAGCAGCAGAAAATAATTTATTTACAGTGCCATTATGAAGTTCCCATAGGGGGTTATTATATGTAAAGTCACCAATTAAATCCAAAGTATCTTTCCCACCTCCGGTTCCATCGGATTCTACAAGCAAAAGAGCATGAGTCAGGATAAGGAAAAATATGTAATTTTCTGAATAAAACTGATATTTTATACTTATCCTGACTCATGATGTAAACCCTCCCATCCTCCCCACATGACACTTCGGATTTCCCTGCAAATTCAAGTGTTGGACTCGTTATCAGCAGAGAGTGAAGCATGTGGGATACGGTGGCGCCGTCTTTCCCGCCAGGGGAGAAAAGAGGGACAACTCTTGGTGAGTAGTGATAAGTGATTTTACGTATGTTTCAATTGAAGGGAGCTTCAATAGGGAGATACAAGTGTTCCACTATGTTTGCAAGAAGAAGAAGACAAGCAAAAGAGCATGAGTCAGGATAAGTATAAAATATCAATTTCATTCAGAAAATTACATAATTTTGAAACTGAAATATAATATCAGCATGTATTTTGCTCATGTGAATGGATTAATCTTCCATTTCAGTACCTTCTGAACTTTGTGTACATGTGCCTCCAAAGGGCAGCAGAAGCAGGCCATGGTTCAATTGCTTTCCCAGCTGTTGGAGCAGGGAAGCTTGGATACAAACCTGATATGGTCGCCAAGGCTATGTTTGATGCTGTTGAAACATTCTACCTTAAAAAACCATCTTCCAAGATGTTTGTCACATTTGTGCTGTTTGAAGGTGACAGAAAAGTCATTCAGGTATAAGATTTTCTATATGAGCCAGATAGATCGAGAACAAATTTACATTTATGTAGAACATACAACTACATTACTTACTAAGTGTGATGATATCATAACACAGTGAGGTGTAATGACTATAAATGGCTATAAAATTGGTTTCAGAGATGTAGATCAATATTTGTGTCTCCCACAACAACATGATGGCATAAAGTTGATTAACTTTCCTATGGTTTCCACAGCGTGCCATTCCATATGTAAAGCCACCCCAAACTGGGCCATGTTGTTGGATGCTAGGTACCCTCTCCCTTTGAGAATACCCCACGAATGCTCTATTGGTGCTACCTGATTTAGCCCAATATCTCATCGGAGATTGTCAGTGATGACATGGGCATGATCTGGTCTGGCTTTGCCATCTTGAAGTTGAAACCTTGAGTATATCACTGTCTAGTCAAATGTCCCTATAATAATAAATCTCCTGTCATGATAACCAAATGAGTTTCCCCGTCGTACACTACCTCCCCAGTATTGAACATTTTCAAGAATTTTTGCCCTGTCTTGTTACTAACTGCTAAGTCACTTACAATGTTTTCTGCCATTTTTGAATCTGAATCAATTTCAGTAAAAGTCTGTAAACATGGTGTAACATTGGTGCATAGTCAGTCTCTGGTGTTGGAAAGCCCACCCCAATCTGTGTTAAGCTGTTGGGTCACATCCTTGACTGGATGCTAAGGCAGGCTGCATAGAGCTGCTTCTTAGTGGTAGATATTGGAATTCACCTTCCTGTTATTGTACACAATTCTCCATTGATAACAGGTGCAAGTTTAAATCTATTGCATAATGCTATCAATATGAAAAGACGATATATTCTCAAGATGTCATTTTTTCAGAAGTGCCATTACCAGGTCTCATTGCAACACCCCCTGTTTGATGTTACTTGTCCCACAGTAAAACATATTGAGATACTGCCACTGAGGCATTGTTAAATGTGTACTTAGCTCAATTGCATTAGTGATTGTTTGTTCCTTTTCTCATGCACACACATTGGCTTTCTGTGCTCGGTCATCATGTGTTGTGAATTTATACCTCATCAGTTCCTTTTAATTTAGATAGACCTTAAATATTTGTAAAGGTATCCTTGCTACCTTAGACTCTCAACAGTGAAATATAGAAAAGCATGATTAATGTGTAACAGATATATATCAAATATAATTTTCCTTATGTGGTTAAGTAAGATAGTTTTCTTATTATTATAAGCAATGTGTGAACCATCTTTATTATTTGAACATTTATTCATTATTCATAACTAAATCCTTGCATGCTCAATTCTCAAAACCTATTCATGAAATACTGTCTGAGCTGTTTCAAATATATATTTTTCTGCAACCTGTGTTAATTTATTCTTATTCATACATCCAGCATTTCTATGCAGAAGAAGTTCTAAGGGACTATGAACTAAAAAGCAGAGGTGAGTATGAGCTTATTTTCCCCATGAAGGCATGGGCTCTCGTTTCACAAAGTGTCGTAAGTCTATGTTACACTATAGGAGGTACAACAGCGTAGTGCTTCGATAGCTTTGTGACACGGGACCCAGGATATCAATATATCATTGACAGGAAGAGATGCCAAGTGGTAATCCAAAGACCAACTTCAAGGTCAATATATCAATAAGAATTACTTTTGCAGTGGAAAGATCTTTGCAATTACTAGAAAGTCCTGCTCCAGTAGCCTGATGAATGTTTCAACCGATATGACTATCTGAGTTTATAGTTTCAAATCATTTCATCCTGTTCATCTACATCAGGCTAATCTCCAAGATATGATTAATGGAATTCGCTTGTTAGGCTCACTGACTTGATCAATGCATGCCTCCATATCCCAGATCAATGGTGATGATATCAATCACTGGATTGGTCAGTCTAGATTGTTTACAGATCGCCGCCATATAGCTGGAATATTGCTGAGTGTGGTGGTATTCAACAAGCAAAACATACCAACATTATGGGGCAACATATATATTAACAATTTATTCCCCTAGCATCTAGAAACATACTGTATTTCTTCAAATAAGCGCCCCTGGCGCATATTTTTTTAACGTTCCACCAGACCCAGCACTTATTAGAGGCCCGGCACTTATTAAAATACCCTGTATTATGATTAGTTATGAAGTTATCATTTAAAGGTCACATGCAACGTAAAACACAACTTTGCAGATTCTGATACCTTTAGGTATGGACTTTCTGAAACAAATCATCAAAAATGCAAATTCAACTTATAAAGTTGAAGAATAACGCGATGAAAAAAAACGAGTTCAAACGATTCACTAATTTTCCCCTGACTTTTCGGGGGAAAACTGGTTTCAACAGCTGGGCTGCTCTCATAGCACGTGCGCAGTGAAATAGGTTTGCGCAGCTTTGAAGCGGGTTGTCCGGTGAATACTCGGTGAAGGCTTTGGTGTGAGCTATTTTTCTAATGTTTACTTGATATCTCACAGGCGCGAGCTTTTTATATGTTATGACAGTTAATTAACTGTTTATGTAATTTGATTTGTCTATTTCACCACACGTTCTTCTTACCGAGTCACTTTCCCAGTTTGATACTTAAAAGCAATGTCATTTAGCATTGACAGAATTTCTAACTGTGATATAGATATGTCGTTGTCACAGACAAAACTCAATGTCTTGTTTTATTGACACCTGTGTGTCTGCCTGCCTGTCTGCCAATGACAATATTCAATACACAGCTGCTATCACTGACCACATGCAATTTGAACTTAACACCAATCAGGCTATACACCATAAACAAAATGCATTGATTTATGGCCCGAGTTCGGTCACTGTCACATTATGTAATTACACAGACAGGCAGGTGTGATACTTTAACACATGACATGTTATGATGTCTGTTGATTGCAAAATGTTATGCACAAAAAATGAGCATGTATTTACAAAACCCAACATCTATATATATACACACACAATGAGCAGTGAGGGCATCTGCCGTTACACTTGAGTGCACACCCACCCGCTCTGACTGGGTTTGGTATCCCGGCTGCTTCGTTTCTTGGGAAGTAAACCCAAGTACACAATATTGCACTTTTGATTTGCAATTGTACGCATACAATTTTGTTTATATGTTTTTTCATAACCAGCAATGTATATTATATGTCATGAATAAGTGATAATTGTGTTTTAATTATGTTTGATTTTTTGGTTGCATGTGACCTTTAAGGGACCATTCCTTAATATATTTATTTTTGTGATCAAGGGAGAATACATTTGCGAAAATTTGCAAAGGTCTATACCCGGTGCTTATTAGAGACCTGGCGCTTATTAGAGGCCAAGCGCTTAATTCTTAAAGCACTGCTTTATCCCTGGCGGTTATTAGAGGCCCGGCGCTTAATAGAGACCTGGCGCTTAATAGAGTAAATACGGTAGTTATGAAAGCTCTTCATGCTCATGTTCAATGTGGTTTTTTACCTTAAAGTTTTAAAATTGCTGAGTTAAACATACAAAAAGTGTCATGTTTTTGGAAGTGTCCCAATACACTTTGTACTTCCATAATTGGTGTGCTTTTATGTGTGATTTTGTTAAAATGTCAGTGCCAGTGTCCACTTGAGACTACATTACAGATGTGCAGGTGAATCAGTTTTTATGTGGGGTAGCTTCACTCTGACTGACCTCACCCTTTCAGGGTTGGCATTTGTTTAGTTTCAAAATCGCCCCCTAAACCTCCCCCCATTCGATGACACTGTGACAATCTGCAAACAAGTTTTCTGCTGAAAATAGATTTTCCTGTTGCCATCCCTGCCTTTTCCACATTGCGCAAACCCATGAAGATCCAGGTTATAATTTATGTTCAGCAACCCATGCTTGTTGTAAAAGGCGACTAACAGGATTGGGAAGTCCGGCTCACTGACTTGTTTGACACATGTTATCGGATCCCAATTGCGTAGATCAATGCTCATGATGTTGACCACTGGATTGTCGGTCCAACTCGATTATTGGAAAAACATACTGTCACCCTGTTGGAGGATGTGTAGGGTGATGGTTTGTCTTTCAGGACAACATGCATGCCCACCATTCACTCATTATCAATGCTCATCTGAAGTAGCACAACATCCACAGAATGCATGCATTGAACCCAGACATTTTCCCCAGTGAGAATGTTTTGGACATGATAGGGAGATGTATGGGTTATTGTAAACCAAAAGTCACTGTGTTCTGATTGATTAAAAAACAGGATCAAACGGTATTCGATTCCCGGAAATTGCAAGACTATTGGCAGCGTATTGTGTCAGCAGTGGTGACGTCATTCAAATCATATTGTGACGTAAAGTCGGAATGACGTCACAAATGAGCAGTTACAGATGCTACAATGGGAACCAACTGAAACAGCCAGCTGATGACACTTCACTGCTGTACCCGTGCTCGATGTCAATGAGTGCAGACAGTAAAACCCATGTTGGCCTTTTGGTTTACTTTTGTGTTTGCAATGTTGATAAGCATCATTTGTTGGCCAATTTCCGGGTGTTATTGAGTATTTGAGGCATGGGAATATTTCCGGGAATTCCTGTGCTTCAAGTACTCAATAACACCCGGAAATTTGCCAACGTGTGATGTTTATCTCCTAAGTATCTCAGGCTGCCGACCATAGTGGCTGAACTGGGCCAGGTGCTGCATGAGGAATTGGACAGACAAGATTTTTCAGAATATACTGTCATGCTTTACTTCCAGTTGTAATGTGTTCCTATAACACAGCAGCCAAGCCGACCACTGGGAGTTGTCATCAGTTAGCAGTGATGGTTCTGGTTTTGCATCATCTTATAATGAAACCTCTTTGCTAATAATCTTGTCATGAAGTGATACCCCTAGTGATCCAGTTGGACTGAATCAGTTTTCCTGAATCATGAATCCAGCACATTTTGCTTGATAACTGTGTTAGGATCTACACCGAAACGCCGCATCCACTGCAATAAAGAAGTTGTCTATCCATAAAAATTGCTCCTCTTCATCATACCAGCTTCTAAATGGCACTTAAGGAAGAAAAAAAGTAAGAAGTTGCCATCCATATAGTTGTCTTATATCTTATAATTTGCAGGTGGTCAAAGCAATGTGCTCAGATTCCATCTCAAAGAGGAACTTTTGGTACAGGTTATCCAAGGAGATCTCAAAGATTATAAGGGAACAGATGAGGTCTTTGTTTTCCTTGAAGAAGGCAAATCATGGGGTAAGTCTATAATCTCAGTATGTTTAGCTGGACTGGTCACAGAAGCCTTTACAACTGCGGGACAGTCTTCACGTTGCCCCAAGTGATTTTGAGCGCACTTAGACCAAACACCCAAATGTGAGGTTTGTCAAGGTTATTAGAAAGAAGTTAGTGAAATATATCAACATTTCATACGTTTTTTGTTTCAACTGATGACAAATGGTGACTCATCTCATCTAATTATGTAACTCTTTAATTTATGCAACTTCTTCACTTGTGATTACTTATTGTCGTTTTGGAAATTACAGTAAGCAATTCTAAAAGGTTGCCATGGTAAAAGTTGGATGTTTGAAACTGAAGTATTTTCCCTGGTTGTCAGTCAGCATATAAAAAAATGCATGTAAATTTGCAACTTGCGAAGCATGAGGACACAATCCACCTGTAAAACCAACAATATTGAATTGGTACTTTTTGTGATGATAAAAGTGTCTCCTCGTGGGGATTGATGGCTTGACAGGCACCGCAATTGATCTTGAATATGTTTTACAGTTGTTTCTGATGATTTCAATCTACCGTATATTACCGTCTATAAGCCGAATTTTGAGGACCAAAAAAAGCAGTCTGTAGAAGGGTGTCGTCTTATCCATGAGTTACGCTTTCGTCAAACTTTTTTCCAGGGGTAAGAAAACAACATCGTATCACTTCGCGTGAACAAACAACAGAAGACGACTTTGTCAGTAGAGACGTCAAATTTGCAATTAAACATCACAAGACAAGATTATTTACCTTTTAAGTTATAAGTTGTTTTTGCTGGGCATTGTATTATTTGCAGGGATTAAGATTACCGTGCGTATTTGTCTCGTACACAAAGCACAAAGCCGGAAATAGCAAACATGCACAATAATATAACGGGACGAATTCTGACGCAGTCATCAGTATTATTTAACCCAAAAGTATTATTTAACCCAAAGAAATATATCCTAGCATTACTTAAGTTTATTTACAGTTTTTATGTAAAATATATATAATCAACACTAAGGTTATACGGACCCTCGTGAACATGGTAAGCACATGGAATGGGGTAAAATACGGAAGCCATTTAAATTCACACATTTTTACCGATGTTACTGAAACCTCACAGTCAATGGAAAACGAGGCGGTAATCAGGTACCTATCCATGAGAGATATGATTTTGACACTGATTTTGAGGGTCAAGTTTGGGGGTCGGCTTATCCATGGGGTCGGCTTATAGACGGTCATATACAGTAAACATTCAGTGCGAATTCAGACAAAAGATTCAATCTTTCCAAACACTGTACGATTTGATGCAAATAATTTACAGGACCAACATGAATTACCCCTTATTCTAAAACTCTGATTGATCTGACATTTCTATTCAGTGTAGACAATGTCAGATTTTAAGGTGGACTAGATACCGTCTGTAGTGATCACTGACCAATCTTAACATAAAAGAAATTATACGGCAAAGTTTGATGTAGTTATGGTATTAATGAGATTGTCTATTTTCATCTGATGATACTAATATGTCACTGAAGATTTTACTTTCATTTTTAAATTTCATTTTGATAAATAATGTACTGAATAGGATTGTCACCATCAGAAGAAAGGATTGCCAATGGCTGAATAATGATATGCATTCTCTCATAAGGAACTTACCACGAGTAGCTGCAAAATTGTGGATGCGACTTCAAGGAATACTCACTCACTCACTCACTCACTCACTCACTCACTCACTCACTCACTCACTCACTCTCTCATTCATAAGAGAACGTAATGGTATTCAGAAAGTTGCTAAAATTTTAAAAACATGCAGACTGGGGAAAATGTAGACTTATAAAGTGCAGGAATAAAGTAATATCATCAATCAGAATTAGGGGTGTCGCAATACGCGAATGTATCGATGAATCGATACATTTTTACTGACGATACGATACGCCGACCTATTTTAAAACTTTATCGATTCAAATTTTTATGCTATATCCATCTCCTTCGAAGTCTTGATAGTAAAATTATACGAGATCGCTCCGATAAATAGTTGTAGCTAGCTTTACTTAAAAAATAGGTTGGAAACTAACAGCTTTTTTGATTGGCTAGACTATTTTGATGGACCAATCGGCAAGCTCGTACATTGCCTGTAAGGTAATGCTATGAATAGGTGCGAAAATTATGTATCGCGATACATATCGTATCGTGACCTTAAAATCGTGATACGTATCGTATCGTGAGATTGGTGTATCGTGACACCCCTAATCAGAATGGATTAAATGAATGAATATAACAGTGAATGGTACTAAGATATGGTGGTGTTGGTTAACTCATTAAGCCCGAGAGCCACCTCACTACTCAACACCTGGAACCCCTCGCTGATTGTCCACTCGCTGTGGCAGGACTAATTAGTGCTAATCACACCTGATTTCCCTGGCAGGTTTCGGGGATAGTCGTACAAACAAGTACTGATTGCTTAATTGTGTTGTAAAAATATATGTTGAAGGAAAGCAGGTGTGAATACATATCGTGTATTGCAAAGTTTTATGTAATTTGATTGCAAGTTTCTCTTGACCTAGACCTCTAGACCTTTGGGGGCTTGTACATTTATATTTTATCACAATATGCATGTATTCTTTGTATGTAAGAGATGAGTACGCACATAAACAAATTCTTTCTCTCATATCAGTGTGTGAGGTTTAAATTTACAAAACATCTATGACAAGGACATACTGTAAAGAAGAATTACTTACATACTTTATAAGCTTCGATGAAAATAGCGTTTTTGCCGACACATTTCTAGTGTATACGAATTATTTCAATTTCAATAGTCTGTGACTAACATAGAGCACATTCATAGCTTGGCACTTTGTTTCATCTAGATTTACTGCAGAAAACATATGTGACCATACAGACATATACATATAAAAAATTTACACTACATATTCCTTGCAAAGACATAAAACGAAGAGTCAAGTGATAGGGCGTCATCAAATTTCCCAAATAGAACGTTCGTTATCTCAACTGTTCAATATAGTTGCTGATCATATGTTATCTGTGACCAATCGTATCATGAGATACCTGTCACAGAGGAAGTGACAGGTGATGGGGTGTGGGCGAAATTTCTGAAGAGCATGTTTGGTGACTCAACAGCTTGGATAGAGATTGATTATTGGCTATATCGTTGACCAGTTGATATGCTGGGTTTCGGCTCTATCAGCTCAAGCTATCATGTAATAGTTTTTGTCTTGTAATCATACACACTGGTAACGATGTATGAAATACACACATAAGACAAATAGGAGTAGATAGACACTTTGGCGAGTTTATTTGACCTCAATTTAGTGTTTTTTGATAAGTAAAACAAAGCGACTGAAATCCAACCATTGAGTGGGGATAGTATTCATTTTCATATACATTTTACGCACACAGCCAGTACATAAAACACATTATGGTTTGCTATACATGTAAATATAATCTTCACCTTGATACGAATGAATATCCAAACTAAAGTACACATATTACAGAATTCACGAAATGACAGTATACTGAATTATTATAGTATATAAAGTTGCAGTTCAAACAAACACACACACACAACATTTATGAAGGTGGGCGTGCCTATATCTATACTGAATGCAAACGAGGTTCTTAAGATTACAGATGTGCATGCATGCATAAACATTACAGAGAGGGGCGTGACTCCATAAAGCAAGTTGTCCAATGATATAACAGCGCATCTGTTTATTTTACACTTGTCACGGGACAAACCTTTCAACAAGGACATATGCATTCTACCGGAGGCTGTTATTTCAAGGTCGAAAGAGGTGTTTAATTATCTCATTACTGTAATCTGCTTGAATGATTATACGTATGTGTATCGACACCATAACTGATATACTATCCAGCTTTTATTGACGATGGATCAATAGAGACTGAGTTCATTGATACACATGATAATTACATTGATACACGTGATAATTACACCGGATTTGATAATTACAGAGATCAAATGCAAATGTTTTACACAATGCTCATGTAAATTGCATAGAAAACTGACCATTCAAATCAACATGAAACTTTCAACAGCTTGAACAAAAATACTTGAAATACCTTTGTATGGTTTACATGTAATAACTTATGATATTACTTCTGTTTAGGTGTGAGAATGTTTTGAATTACCAACTTACTGTGTTTTGTAACAAACGTAGTAAAGATTTCATTGTTGTAATAACACTGACATGTATATATATTTGATGCAAAGGCATGACTTATCACGTTATATTCAATTAGGTAACATTATTAACATTAGATTATGGAAAATAACTAGTTGCAATTCAGTAAGCTTCAAATTAGTAAGTTAAATTATGCTTAATTTATTCGAGCTTGGATGTATAATTATTTGTGTTTATACATTATGTCTCATTATATGAAACATGACAACGTAATAATACCTAAAAAGTAAATTCAAACTACTCTATTGTGTTTGAATTCTTTGTATGTCCTTGAAATTTTGTATATTGTTTCCTATTTATTAGGAAGTTGAAGAAAATATAATCTTCAGTAACCTCTAAACCATTACATCTAATTCAATCAATGTGCATACGAAATATTTTAGTATCCATTCCCAATGAACAGTACCAGACGCTTACCTCTGTAAAAACGTCACAATCCCCTTTCTCGCCGACATGTGTTCATTTGCCAAACGCTGTACAAGCCTATGATAATGATTAGCAATTGCTATCAAAACACTTTAAATACTTCTTCTGATTGACACTAAAGGTTGCATCTCTCGTAAGAAAAGCTAATATTTGCTCAGTACTACTAAATTGGTTGAAATAATAGGTACAGTGCGATTTTTAAAAGTACGACACACATGTGCATCTCTCGCTGAATAAGAGGTGCTTTCTGTTGACGAATATATGTGGCTCTCGCTGTGAGAAACTGCTAATTACTAACCCCATAAACACGTCACTCGCTGTGAGGAGCTGATTATTTTGCCCTTGGCCTTAATG